CCCATGGGGAGTCAGCAGAGCCCAGCTCACTGAACCTAGGCAGGTCCAAGCCCCTTCCCACTGCACCAAGGCTGTGCAAGGTGTCACACCACAGGCACCGGGTACCAGAAGCCTGCCCATAGACCAGGGACAGATCCCAATCCCCCTGCCTGGGTGCTTCCCAAACAGTTTGAGCCAAACAACCATCTTCTGTATCCAGAGGGTCCAGTCCAGTCCCATGGGGGCTCCACAGCCACCAGTCCCCAGTTCATGGGCTTCCACTAGTGTGGCCGGTCTATCCATTATATTCTTTGCTAACTTGGATGTGGCTTTTAAACTACAACTAATCAATAATAGAAAGTTGAGTTTATAGTTGAATTATTTATTGTCCTCTTATTACATGAAATCTCTTGTTCCATAATTTCCTGTCACAACTGCTGTCGGGCATCCTAAGTGAGGATGTTGCGGAGGCATCAGCAGGGAGAACTGATACGTCATCAGTCTTGAGCCTAAACTGGCATTTTGTGACAGCCTGAAGATTTAATCTTACTCTTTGAGCAACTCACTTCAGACTTACCTTGTGAAATTTCTTTAATGAAGACCAATATTGCCATAGTTTAAACTCATTTTCTTACCTTTGATAAGTTCTGTATCTAGGAACTAATCCTAAGGAAGTAATACTAGACCACTTAAGTGTTTGAAATCTTCCTTGCATTGTTATTTATAATTGTGGAAGAGGAAGCTATATCTTTTTTGGGACATTCGGGTACACAGGTCTTATGTAATCCAAGCTAGTCTTGAGCTCACTGTGTATCTGAGGGTGATCTTGGATTTTGTTTTGTTTTGTTTCGATTTTCAGGACAGCGTTACTCTGTAGCCCTGGCTCTCCTAGAACTCGCTTTGTAGACCAGGCTGGCCTCTAGAGATCAGCCTGCTTCTGCCCCTGGAGTGCTAAGATCACAGGCATGTACTATCATATCCAGCAAGAAGCTACAGTTTAACAACTTAAGAATAAATGATTCTATTGGCAGTGGATGGAATAATACATGACCTGTTCTTGTATTGCAGAGTTAAACAGAGTTTTAGCAGAAATAGTAATAAACATGAATTCTAATACAAGTTAAAACAAAAAGCCTGGGTACACCCCTCCTTCCAAATTCTGCTGTTGTCAGTGAGACCTGTGCTGAGACTGTGGACTTGAAGTCAGTCTCCAGACTCTAGTCAGAGTGCCCTGCGTTTAGTCAGTAGCTAAAAAGATGTAAAGGCGGTAGAGGCACACTGGAAATGTCTTTATTTCAGGCATTTTGAATGTAATGCATGATAAATGCTATTGTGTATACTTCAGGAGGTTGAAAGCCACATGCCATGTTTACTGTTTCAAAGAATCCTGTACTTCAGTCAGGGCGACAGCTCTAAATGTGTCTAATAAAACATAAGAGTTGTTAGGAAGAAGCTGAAAGTGGATGGCAGGGGGAACTTACTCAGGGTTAACAGGAGGTATTTGGATGTGCTGTAGCTTTGAAAATTCTTTTTATTATATTCTTTTTTACTTAACTATGTGTGGGCATCTTCTCCTCAGTGTGCATGTGCAGTAGGTTCTTTCTTTCCACCACGTGGGTCTTGGGGGTCAAACTCAGGTTGGCAGACTTGGCAATAAGCACCTTGACCCATTGTGGCCCTTTTTTGTCTTTTTAAAAAGTAACCCGGTTGCCGGGCGGTGGTGGCGCACGCCTTTAATCCCAGCACTCGGGAGGCAGAGCCAGGCGGATCTCTGTGAGTTCGAGGCCAGCCTGGGCTACCAAGTGAGTTCCAGGAAAGGCGCAAAGCTACACAGAGAAACCCTGTCTCGAAAAACCAAAAAAAAAAAAAAAAGTAACCCGGTTAAGAGGCAGGAACTTTTTTTTTAAGATTCATTTATTTATTATATATACAATATTCTATCTGCATGTATGACTGCAGGCCAGAAGAGAGCATCAGATCTCGTTACAGATGGTTGTAAGCCACCATGTGGTTGCTGGGAATTGAACTCAGGACCTCTGGAAGAGTAGTCAGTGCTCTTAACCTCTGAGCCTTCTCTCCAGCCCAAGGCAGGAACTCTTAAGTAAAGAGATCAAGAATAATTAAAATGGTGAGAGCAGCCAGCTGGTGATGGCACATTCCTTTAATCCCAGCACTCTGTGTTTGAGGCTGGCCTGGTCTACAGCGTGAGTTCTAGGACAGCTAGGGCTACACAGAGAAACCCTGCCGATAGATAGATAGATAGATAGATAGATAGATAGATAGATAGATAGAGATAGATAAGATCTGAATGGATCTCAGCTGAACTGCTGCTCAAAGCCTAAAGCTTAACCAGGCTCTAGTTCCTGGTCCTCATACCTTATATACACCTTTTGCTTCCTGCCATCACTTCCTGGGATTAAAGGCATGTGTCTTTCCCAAGCAAGACATGAGATTTCAAGTGCTGGGATTAAAGGTGTGTGTCACCATGCCTGCTTGTTTCCAGTGTGGCTTTGAACTAACAGAGATCCGGATGGATCTCTGCCTCCAGAAGGCTAGGATTAAAGGTGTGTGCGCCTGGGGCTGGAGAGATGGCTCAGGGGTTAAGAGCACTGACTACTCTTCCAGAGGTCCTGAGTTCAATTCCCAGCAACCACATGGTGGCTTACAACCATCTGTAACGAGATCTGATGCTCTCTTCTGGCATGCAGTCATACATGCTGTATACATAGTAAATAAATGAATTTAAAAAAATAAATAAAGGTGTGTGTGCCACCATTTTCTGGCCTCTATGTCTATCTAGTAGTGGCTGTTATGTTCTCTGACCCCAGATAACTTTATTAGGGTGCACAATATATTGGGGGGACACAATACCACCACACCTACAATTTAATGCTTAACTGAAGGGAGTAGGGATGATGAGTGCTTGGATAAATGAATAAACAAACAAATAAATGAATGAATGAATAAGTGATGAGTGCCTGGAGAAACCCTTCAAACAAGCAAACAAACAAATGATGAGTGCCTGGAGAAACCCTTCAAACAAACAAACAAACAAATAAATAAATGATGAGTGCCTGGAGAAACCCTTCAAATAAATAAATAAATAAATGAATAAGATGGTAAGAGTGATCCCTTCGAATAAATAAATAAATAAAATGGTGAGAGTGATCCCTACAATTTAATGCTTGACTGAGGGAGTAGGGATGATGAGTGCCTGGCTGAGGAGGGCAATGGGGACTGTCTAGTTAGTGTTCTACTGCTGTGAAGAGACACCGTGACCATGGCAACTCTTTGTTTTTTGTTTTTGTTTTTTGAGACAGGCTTCCTCTGTGTACCTTTGGTGCTTGTCCTGGATCTCGTTCTGTAGACCAGGCTGGCCTGGAACTCACAGCCATCTGCCTGGCTCTGCCTCCCAAGTGCTGGGATTAAAGGCGTGCGCTACCACTGCCCGGCTGGCAACTCTTATAAAAGAAAGCATTTCATTAGGGGCTTGCTTACGGTTTCAGAAGCTTAGTTTGTTATTTCATGGCAGGGAGCATGGCAGCAGGCAGGAGTGGTCTTGGAGAAGTAGTAGCTCAGAGTTACATCCTAGTCTATAAGTAGAGAGAGAGAGAGAAAGGAGAGAAGAGAGACTGGGCTTGGCATGGGATTTTGAAACCTCAAAGCCCACCTCCAGTGATATTATTCCTCCAACAAGGCCACACCTCCTAATCCTTCTAATCCTTTCAAATAGTGCCACTCCTTGGTGACTTAGATATATGAACCTATGGGGGCCATTCTTATTCAAAGCACCACAGGGATGGGGCAGGAGCACAGAACTGAGAGATTCTCATGCGAGTACATGCTAATAGAAGGCTGAGGAATAGGAATAGTCTCAGGGGAGTGGATGGTGAGTTGAGTTGTGCTGGGGAGAATTGTGCAGCGGAGTTCCTCTCTGCAACAGCACCTTAGGTAGACAACATTTTCTAAGGTTTGCGTTTCACTTACACAGTTCCAAAGTGTGTGTATTTGGCAGTGTTACCTGGAGCTGATCAGATTCTTCAAAGTTGCAGTTAACATTAATGGGAAACAAATGTCTACTGTCATTGGTCATATAAGCTGTGTAGGGCAGCCTCCACCTGGGACCTAGGATTGTTTACCACTGAAGGATGAGGGATTGGAAGGCAGACTTGGGGGTCACTACTTAGTTCTACCCCTTGCTCTATTGCTGATGTTCTCTAAGCTTTTGTTTTATCCTGTTTTTTTGAGGCAGGGCCTTGAGTAGCCAATGGTGGCCTTCAACTCCTGACCCTCCTTCCACAATCCTGCCAGTGTGAGATTATAGGTGTGCCCCACTACACCTAGCTCTCAACCTATTGACTTTTCAAAGACTGTGAAAGTTCAGTGGAAATAGTTAGCAAAGAGCAAGTGTGCATGAGTGTCAGCAAATGGTATTGAAATGAGCCTTCATGAATGTGGAGGTAGACAAAAGGGGGTGAATGCAGAACTCTGCTCACCGGAGGCTTCATCCACCTATCTCCTGGACTCATCCTGTCACTGGGGGAAGCGGAGAGCAAAAGATGGACGTTTTTATCCGAGCCCTGGTATGGGCTCTTAGCCTAAGGCATTGTTGTCTGGGAACCTAAAATTTATTGGCACAATCATGCTTTTGTGCTGACTTCCTTAATTACTTCAGCTATCCTGTACAGATGAGGTGTAAAATGTGTGAACCTAGCTTTAACAGTGGGCCTGGGGAGAGGCTCCGGAGGTAAAAGCACTTGCCACGCGGGCTTGACAACCTGAATCCCACCCCAAAACCCGCAGGGAAGAAGAGCAGCAGCTCCCCAGGGTGTCCTCTGCCCTCCACACTTGTGTTGTGTACTCCAGCTCCCGAATGCCCTACACACACACACACACACACACACACACACACACACACACACACACACACACAGAGGAATAACGCACTGCTGTAACCGGCTGGCCACCTCGTTGTGCAAGCCCTGTGCTTGTTTCCCCATTTTTTAGGAGATTCACTGCAGGGGGATGGCTTGTTTGGCTTCTTTATTGGTTCACTCTGACTCAGGACAGGCTGGTGTATCAACTCACCGTTCGTTTTTATCATGTTTAAACAGGTGAAACTGAACAGTATTTTAAAGACTCTCATGGAGAAGAACCTGTAGAGGAGCTAGAAAGTATCAAGGAGTCCAAGTCATCATGGAGAAAAGTGTCTTTTGGGAGGTAGTGTGCCATGCCTGTGAATTTCATCATTGTAAGATTAAGCCCTGCATATGCTAATGGTCCCCTCCAAAAGCTAATGTGAACATTTTACTAACTTTCCTACCTTTCTGAGGGAGTTTTAAGCCCTTGAACTCTATTTAATAATTTAATGCTAATTCTCATTTTAACTACCTATTATTTTTTTAATTTTTCCCTTGATCATCAATTTCCCCTTTTCTTTTTGAGTCTTATGTAGCCTGGCCTGGCCTTGAACTCACTGTGTAGCTGAGCATGACTGAACTGATCTTCCTGCCTCCAACTCCAAAATGTTACAGATTTATTTGCTTGTTTGCTCCTCAAGGCAGGGTTTCACTGTGTATCCCTGGCTGTCCTGGAACTCACTCTGTAGAACAGGCTGGCCTCAAACTCAGATCCACCTGCTTCTGCCTCCCGAGTGCTGGGATTAAAGACATGAGCCACCACATGCATCCCCTACCTCATTTTTTAAGAGATAGTTTGACTGTGTAGACTGGGTTGGCCTTGAATTTACAATGTAGCCACAGTGGCTGGCCTCTGACTCACAGCTGTTCCCTTGCCCTTCGCCTCATGCTGGTTTTTGTTATCATGCCCAGTTCATGAAATTTATGACTTTTTTCATTATTAGATTTAAAAACAAAACAAAAAGAGCAAAAGTGAAACTATTTGAGATTTAAAAAAAAACTTTTTTTGAGATTCTTGTATCTCAGGCTGGTCTGGAACTTAGTATGTTGTCAAGGATGGGCCACATTGAATTTATGATGCTCCTGCTTTTACCTCCCAAGTACTAGGATTATAGGCATGCAACACCATGTCCAGTTCTGTTCTGTGCTGGGAACCCAGGGCTTTCTGCATGCTAGGCTGGCACTCCACCAAATGAACTCTATCCCCAGCCCTTAAAAAATTTTGTTGTGCTGGTGGTGGTGCATGCCTTTAGTCCCAGCACTCAGAAGGCACAGGCAGGTGGATCTCTGTGAGTTTGGGGTCAGTTTGGTCTACAGAGTGAGTTCTAGGACAGCTGGACACACAGAGAAACCCTGTCTGAAAAAAAAAAATAGAATATTTTCTGCAAAAGTAAAGCCTTGCCCAGATTCCAGAATCCTGCAGCCTTAGATTCACCAGTGTTGCTATCCTTTTCATCCTTGACACACAAAACCGTTTCCACCTTGCATAGAACAATCAAAAGCAAACAGATGAGAGGCAAAATGTAATTTTCTTCCCTTCTTCCCTCCTTTCTGGGAATAAACCAAGGACCATTGTAGGCAAATGCTAAGTTGTCGGGCTCCATCCAAAGCCCCAGTCTGTGCACCTGGGATGAGCAGTGTGAATGCTTGTGAGCCCACAGCCACTGTTTGAAATGCTCTCTGGAGGCAAACAGGCCATAGTGAGTGAGAGACCTTTTTCAGGTGTTCCTTCTTGTCTGATGCTTTCGAGCCTGCCTGGGATGAAGATGAAGTGGAATCCACAGGTGAAGTCATCAGGCTTGGAGACACCGCACATACCTTTTCCCTGAGAAGTAATGGTGAGTAGACAAACTTTCAACATGCAGCACAAAAATGTAGAATCCTACAACTTAAAGTTGAGATGAGCAGAGCCCCAATTAAACATGTGCATTGAAGTCATAGACTGTCACCATTGCCCACTAAATAGGAACAGAGCTATCTGACATCGCTGTGTGAGGAGATCACAGGCTCATACACAGTAAGTGCATGTAGAGAGACATAGAATTTGTCCCACAAATTATGGATGCAACTTTGAGCTTAGTCACACCTTTGGAGTACTCAATGACAATTTTCTGTACTGGTTCACTTACTTTTCCATGGTTTGAACTGACAGGTTCATACTCCTGGTAGTACTGTTTCCGCCACACGTTGAACCATCTATTGCTTGTACACAGAGTGCCTCTCAGGCCCCAGTTGTGCACCCTGCTGGGCCTCAGCAACTCCTCTCCCTCTTCTGCCTCCCGGTCTACCTTAGTTGGCATTCTTCTCTGCTGTCCCGTTGCTCCATCTGTCCTTCCTCTTCCGGGCAGGCTTGTGTTCCAGTGCCCAGCCTCTTCCACCTGTGCCAGTCTCTATGGCCATGTTCCTGTGCTGTGGCCTTCTCTGTATTTCCCTAACACCATTCATACACTGCATGGAAAGTTGCAGTCTGTTAGGTAAACTCCGAGTTCCTGGAAAAGTAGCCAGGTCACACTCACCCATCGAATGCTGATCAGTGTCTTCTTCCCTGTGCCGGGCGCTGGTGACGGAGTGGAAACAGAACAGCCACAGAGCCTGCTTTCGTGGCACTTACAGTCTGTGTGTCAAGATAAATTGGTAGGATGTATAGTCAATTATTGTTTATCTTAGCCTGTCAGAACTTGGCAAAATGTCAGCCACAGTAAGTATCTTTTTGAATGGAAGAATGAAAAGGTTATTGTAGGTAGAATAGCTGGGCAGTGGAGGCACACACCTTTAATCCCAGCACTCAGGAGGCAGAGGCAGGTGGATCTCTGTGAGTTCGAGGCCAGCCTGGGCTACAGAGTGAGTTCCAGGACA